CAGTCCAACAACATTCCTTTTTCTGTCTCTTGCCTTCATTCACCACCCCCTTCTTTTTGAACAAACAAGTACCTGAGAGAAAGCACAGCAGCAACTGCATGTCATGACAAGCAGTCCAAATTCAGAAGACTAGAATGACCGGCACTCCAAATATGAAACTACTACTACAGATTACCATCTCCACTACAGTTGCTTATTTCACAGGTATCAGTAGATATAGTCAGGGTGAGAATCTTTCCAATTAACTGCTAGATTCAAACATCTTCTGGAGATTCTCAGGATCATTGCCTTGCCCATCTTCTACATATAACTGTATGACTTCTCACTGTCATGTTTCCTAGCTCTTCTCCTTTCCCTCTCTTAATTAGTTAGTCCTCGAGATCTTGCTTTCCTTTTACTTGTATTACACATTTTTTTGTATTTCTTCTTTTGAGTTCTTATGCTAGGGAAATTATACAATATTTACACATGTGTGTCTGGTTTATTTCACTTACGAGTATATGTTCAAGTGACATCCACTTCAATGTAAAGGCTTCGAGTTTATCATTATTTATAGCTGAGTAATACTCCATTGTATAAAAATACCACATCTCTTCAACCATTCCTCAGTTGATGGGCATCTTGGTTGTTTCCAAGATTTGGCTATCACAAATTGTGCTGCTATAAACATAGGCACACGTATATTCCTATGATATGATGTTTTCAGATCCTCTGGGAAAATTCCCAGTAGAGGATTAGCTGGTTTAAATGGGATTTCCAGTCCAACTTTTCTATGGAGTCTCCACACTGATTTCCACAACGGTTGCACCAGTCTACATTCCCACCAGTAGTGAAGGCTTCTTTTTTCCCCACAGCCTCTCCAACATTTGTTATTGGTTGATTTCCTTATGATAGCCATTCCTTCTCAGGTGAGATGATATCTCAGTGTTGTTTTAATTTGCATTTTGTAGATGGCTAGTGATGTGGAGCATTTTTTCATATATTTATTCGCTTCTTTAATTTCATCCTCTGAGAAGTGTGTGTTCATCTCAGATGCCCATTTCTGGATTGGGTCTTTATATTTTGGGGCCCTAGTGTTTTTTAGTTCTTTATAAATTCTAGAGAGCAGACCTTTGTCTGAGTACTTATTTGTCATGATTTTTTCCAAATTTGTGGGTTGCCTTTTCACTTTGTTGGTAATTTCTTTTGACGTGAAAAAACTCAGTAAGAGCAGGTCCCAGTTATTAATTCTTTCAACTGTTTCCTGTGCAATTTGATTTCTGTTCATGACGTCTTTACCTACCCCTCTGTCTTCAAGAGTTCCTCCTACTTTCTCTTCCAGGAGATTTAGTGTCTCTGCTTTATTGTTTAGATCTTTAATCCATTTTGACTTTAGTTTAGTGCATGGTGATAGCCCTGGTTCAAATTTGAGTTTTTGGCATGTAGAGAGGCAGTTTTTCCAGCACCATTTGTTAAAGAGGCTATCTTTCTTCCAGTGAGTATGTTTGGCCCCTTTGTCAAAGATAAGGTGGCTGAGTGTGTTTGTAGGGGTTTTAGCATCTTCTAATCTATTCCATTGATCCTCAGGTCTATTTTGTTTGCAGTACCATGCTGATTTTATCACAGTAGGCTTGTAGTATAATTTCAAGGCAGCAATTGTAATGCCTCCTGCTTTGTCTTTATTGCCCAGTATTGCCATTGCTATTCTAGCTCTTTTCTGGTTCCAGATAAATTTTAGGAATGATTTCTTTAGCTCTGTGAGGTATGTTGGTAGTAGTCTGATAAGGATTGCGTTAAGTCTGTACAGCAATTTTGGAAGTATGGCCATCTTCACAATATTGGTTCTTCCTATCCAGGAGCATGGACTATCTTTCCATTTTCTGAAATCCTCTACAATCTCTTTTTTCAGAGTATTGTAATTTTCCTTAAAAAGAGCTTTGACTTCTTAGTTAGATGAATTCCAAGGTATTTCATTTTCCTTAGTGCTATTGTAAAAGGTATTGTTTGTATAATTTCCCTCTTAGTGTGTTTGTTGACTGTGTAGAGGAATGCTCTTGACTTTTCGGTATTGACTTTATAACCTGCTATGCTACTGAATTTCTGTATTAATTCTAGTAGCTTCTTGGTGGAGTTTTTTTGGTCTTCTAAGTAAAATATCATGTCATCTGCAAATAAAGATCATTTAACTTCTTCTTTACCTATTCTTATTCCTTTTATTTCTTTCTCTTGTCTAATGGCTGTAGCTAATGATTCCAGAACTATACTGAATAGGACTGGTGATAGACGACATCCTTGTTTTTTACCAGATCTAAGAGTAAAAGGTTTCAATTTTTCCCCATTTACTATTATGTCAGCCATTGGATTTTCATAAATGGCTTTTTACAAGATTGAAGTAGAGGTCATCTATTCCAATTTTCTGTAGGACTTTGAACATGAATGAGGGTTTAACCTTGTCCAAAGCCTTTTCTGCATCAATGAAGATGATTATGTGGTTTTCAGTTTTTGCTCTATAGATATAGTAATTACATTTATAGATTTTCAAATATTGAACCATCCTTTCATCCTTGGAATGAATTCTACCTGGTCATGATGTATGATCAAGAGATGATTTGCTGTATTCTATTTGCTAGGATTTTATTGAGGATTTTGTCATCTATGTTCATGAGGCAGATTGGCCTGTAGTTCTCTTTCTTAGTTGTGTCTTTCCCTGGTTTTGGTATCAGTATAATACTTGCCTCCAGGAAGGATTTTGGGAGGATTGCTTCCTTTTCAATTTTGTGGAAGAGTTTGAGGAGTATGGGGACTATATCTTCTGCAAATTTCTTGTAGAATTCACCTGTGAATCCATCGAGACCTGGACTTTTCTTTGTCGGTAGGTTTTTAATTACATCTCATATTTCATTGGCTGTTATTGGACTATTGAAAGTGGTTATATCTTGTCGATTCAGTTGTGGTAATTTGTACCTTTCTAGGAAGTTGTGCATTTCTTCTGTGTCTTCTATTCTGTGAGCGTAAAAATTCTCAAAGTAGCTATTGATAATCTTCTGAATTTCCACCAGGTCTGTGGTAATTACACCCTTTTCATTCCTTATTACTTGTATTTGAATTTTTTCTTTCCTCTTTTTGGTGAGGTCAGCTAGGGGCTTGTCGATTTTATTTAATCTCTCAAAGAACCAGCTTTTTGCTTTTTTAATTCTTTGAGCTGCTTTCTTCATCTCAATTGAATTAATTTCTGCTCTAATCTTTATGATTTCCTCCC